AGTTCGTTTTTATTGGAAAGTTCATGTTGAAAGTTCTAGGTATGACTAACACCATGTCAAAGATATTACAAGCACGAGATCAAAATATTGGTTGTGCTTTGAATATGATTGGTGCAGTAAAAAAGAACTTACAAGATTTTAGAGATCATGGTTGGGATGCCTTTTTGAAGGAAGTTTGTGAATTTTGTGAAGAACATGCAATTGATGTACCTAACATGGAAGATTATCTTCGTGGGCGATCAAGAAAGAAGATGAAAGGTGGTGAACCCATGACAAATTATGTGCATTTTCGTGGAGAGATCTTTGCAAAGGTATATTACTCTTATTATATTTAAATGTTGATATCATTTTTGGAAGTATTTAATATCATAACATATTAAATAAGTTATTATTATTATAATTATTCTTTTTTTGATTTTAGGTTATTGATATTCTTGCTGTGGAAATGGATAGACACTTTAGAGATACAAACACAAATTTACTAAGATGTGTAATGTGTCTTGATCCTTCTAATTGCTTTGCGAGTTTTGATCAAGATCGGCTATTGGAACTTGCTGTATTATATTCAGAAGATTTTAGTTCTAGTGATTGAGTTGAGCTTATTCATGAACTTCAAAATTACATTTCTGATATGAGATCGAATGAAGTTTTCGCTAACATCTCCAATCTTGGAAGTCTTGCAAAGAAGATGGTGGGGATGAATTATCACACATATTTTCCTTTGGTATATCGGCTTATAGATTTGGCATTGATATTACCTGTTGGGACAGCTTCAGTGGAAAGGAGTTTTTCTACGATGAATATTGTCAAGACTGATTTACGCAACCGTTTGGGAGATGAGTTTTTATCAGATTGTCTGTTGTGCTACTTTGAGAAAGAAATTTTTAGGAGCATCGATGATGAAGTTATTATGCAGCACTTTCAAAAGTTGGCATCTCGAAAAAAATTTCTACGGCCTCAAACAACTCTTACTCCTTTAGACAAATAGAAGGAATGTTTACTTGCAATTTGCCAATTAAGATACTTACCGATTATACTATTATGTATTTTATTTATTTATTAAATGAATTTTTGCCCCCCATAAAGTCTTCCCTGGCTCCGCCACTGTAGGTGAGCTTTGCATTGTCCATGGGTGAGCTTTGTAGTGTAGTGTGGTGAACTTTGCGTCATCTCACCATAATGTGTCATCTTATTGGAGTCAATCCATACACACACACACACACACACACACACACACACACACACACATATATATATAACGACACGCACGTATCGTGTCACGACAAAGTTTAGCATGCCGACATGGCATCCAAATGGTATGATTCTTGATTTTTTTCCCAATGATTTTATATATTTTTTACATGTCTATCATTATTTTAAAATATATATGCATGTTGCGTTTGTTTACTTTTACGCCAAATTCAAGCGCGCGCATGGAAATCAGTATTATTCCAGTCCCATACCCTAGTCCACACAATGATGAGAACGTAGCGAAGTACAATTGGAACTCTCCCCGTGCGGCAACTCTTATGGGACCGCTAGGTTCTCCATAGTATCTGCAATAATACATTAATCCCTCGTCTTAATATACTCCACATTCTTCTTCATTTTTACGTTCAAAATTATTTTTTTTTGTCACAAAGTGAAGTCGGGCTAGAAGCTAAGTACAATTTCTTTTTTTTGAGTAATTTACTTAAATAGGACTAAAATATAATGACTTTCCCAATATATGACCATATGTTTTTATTTCCCAATGTAAGACATTTGGTCATTATGAATTAGTCATTATTCAAGTAAATGTCTATCATTACTGGGTATTAATCCTCCCACTAAGACATTATTAAGCCCTATTTAAGGAATAAAAAAGTTTAAGTTCTAGATTAGGAAAGTCATTATGTTTTAGTCCTATTTAGTGCAAATTTCATTTTTCTTCTTTGTTATGATTGGTTGAGTACGATTTTATTTTTTTAAAACTTCTTTAGTTTTACATTCCCCAACTTTGGTTTTTATTATTTTAGTTGTTGTGCACGAATTATGATTTTTTAAATTGGATTCTTTAAATTTAAAGGGAGAGTTAATAAAATACGCACTTCGTATTTAATGCTCACTCCGTATATATATTGTGTAATAATGCAAGATCAAGATATATACAGTGAACGGGCTCGCATACATTCTCATTTTTTGACATTCTATTGATAAAGTTTGTTTATTTTAGTTATTTAATTTAATAAAAGAGCTATACTTTATGAACCCTATATATATGAAGTGTTATATATGTTATTTCAAAATACACCGATTACTATTTTGGAATTTCTAATTGAAGAAGCAAAATAATACAAGAATTATTATATTTTTCCCCTTTGCTCCTTACGCATATAAGAAAAATGGGAGTTAGAAAATGGGTAGATATGTATGGAGAAACAATGGTGCGTAGCAGTGTTACTTTGTATGGTAACGTAAAATGAGTTGATAGACTAAATGAATTACGTGAAGTCACACTTTTAAATTAAAGTTTATTCGAGCTATGCCAAAATACTTCAATCGGATAAGACGTTAGTATATAAAATGGGTATGGACTTCTTTCTACCCTCAAACATACCATGCAAGCCCATAATATAGGCATTTGGGCAATCAGACGTGATCGTTGGCCGAATAAACGCAACCCGTGGGAAAAAACTTATCTTTTGGGCAGTTATTCACTTCGAACTATTCGAATAAGTGGCAACTTATTCGAATAGTTGGGGTCTTCCAAAAAACTAGCCATGTGCTGAACCATTCGAATAAATGAGCATTTATTCAAATAGTTGGGGTTCAGCAAAACGAGCCCGTGCTGAACTATTCGAATAAATATGCATTTATTCGAATAGTTCACTGTGTTAAGCCTTATTTGAGTACATTTTTCACACGTTCAAAAACTACATATTTTAGACTCCGATTACGAAAATCCGAAATACCAAGAAATGTTTGTACACTAAATAAATTTCAGAAATGTAGGTCCAATTTAATGTTTTAATGATACAATTATGTCCAATTTAATTTTTAAATTTATAAAATATTTGTCACCAAAAAAAATCCTCAAATCCCTAATTTATTAGTGTATTGGGAAATTTCAAAAATCTAATTAACGAGGTGAAACAATTTAGTTTCTTACGATTCATTGTTCTGAAAAACGTGTACTTGCAAATTAATGTTTAACTTATAAAAACTTTGTCCAATTAATGTTTCTTACGATTCATTGTTCTTAAGTATTAAAATTAATGCTTTACCCACTATAATGAAAGATAACCACTGCATTTTCTTGCCATGGGATATTATAAAACTATTTTTCACACCTCTAATTTTCTTTTACTTTCTTTCCTTAGTATCCAACCAAAGGTTTTGATTATTCTCTATATTTTAAAAAAATCTCTCTTGATGTAGTTAATGACTTAAAGCATCAACAATGGCAAGTATAAAAATGGAATGTCATACGTTGACACGATACATTTCAACTAATAAAAAATAATTCAATCAGTGTATGGCAAGTGAGTAGCGTGGCATATATTGCAATGGCAAGTAATTGATTTTATCAATTTTTAAACTTTTTTGACATATTTTAATTATTAAAGGTTATTTTTCTTTTCTTTTTTTAAAAACATATTTCTACTTCTTTTAAAAAAATCTTGTCTTTTATAAAAAAAAGACAAAAAAGAGGAACAATTCACACGCGCATGGAATACAAAGCATGGCAAATTGCCCATGCCTTGAAAGGCTTTTATAAAAATTGATGATGTGGCAACATGACAGTGGCAAATCAATGCCACAGTCGATGCTCTAACAAACGTATCACTTTTAATCAATCCCAAATAGTGTTCCTCTATGATTTGAATGTGATTTCATGCAAGAAAACAAAATGCATTATCCTATTAGAATATCAATGTGCTAACATTGAAAGTTAGAAATCTTATACTCCCTCCGTCCCTAAATAAAGTTCCTCTTTCGTTTTTTCTTTGTCCCTAAATAAGCTTCTCTTTTCCCTTAAAAAACCCCTTTTACCCCTTACTTTTTTATACCCTACCTATCACATCATACCTTTTTACTAATAATCTACCTATCACATCTTACTTTAACACATCACATCAAGGGTATTTTTGGAAAGTCAACACCAAAATATCCCTCCCTTAAATCCTCAAAAAGTCAAAAATGGAACTTTATTTAGGGACAGAGGGAGTAATGTTTTTTGTGAAAAAATGATCACACGATGAGATTGTGTTATGATACAAGATTAATAGTGCCATGTGTCAACTCATTGCACACATGAAAAAATTATATCTGGAACACATATGGGCCAAGGTTATGATTAACGCCTTTAGATGCACGGATTCCTTTCAAATTTGAAAAACGACAATTTCCTATAATACTTTCGTATGCAGTGACAATAAACAAAAGCCAAGACCAATCATTGTCTAGCATGGGAATTTATCTCAAAAACCAGTATTCTGTCGGGGACAATTATATTTTGACGATATGTCTCGTTTACAATTTTTTGTTGAACACATTTGAATTGAACAAAATATGTTTTGTTATTGAGTTAAAAAAACATGTTTTTTTACCCTGCATTCAGTTTTTGAAGCAAAACATGATCTAAATTTAAATTATGCTATCTTGTTTTTTTCCTTTTAAATTAAACTAAATTATATTTTTTTGTTTCCATTATGCTATAAAAACTAAAAGGAAAAAAACTAAAAACGTAAAAAATGGTGTGGACGAAAAAGAGATAGAATAAATGAATTAAAATAAAAGGTTTGGAAGTGAAAAATAACAATTAAACAATGATGAAATTTTCAAAGCCAAGGAAAGTTTTCAGTTGAAACTATTGAATCTAATTTAAATAAGAAATAAATAAATACTTCTTCGGTCTAAAAATAAAAGATGGGACAAGAATTTTGTACATTTTTTTAGAGAATTCTTCTTATATCAATTGCAATCAATGGGCCAATTATTCCTTTGACGAGGGAAACACAGAGCGGCCGAAGCGCATCTCCAAAGTCGGTGGAGCCTTCTCAATCAAGAATTTCAATTCTTCATTTTTTTCCTTCTAGAATCACCCTTTCTTTTTGTTTGAACAGAGAGGCCTGAATGTGCTTCACATTAACCGCCAGACTCCCCTTATTTCGTCTGTTAAATTTTCCTCATCGCTGTAAGTTTTTCAGTTTTTATATCAAATGTCAAGACTTTCTGCGTCATACGGAGTATTTATTATTTATGGATTTTTCTTGTCAGATACTCCTATTTGCTATGGTGTTGTTCTTTCATAGACCATGAGTTACAATATATGGTTGAGGCAAGGGGGTCTCCTGAAACAGTTCTCAATTCAATAATTTGTTGACACTCACATTAAGTTCTCTCGATTGCCTATAGAACAAGACAAGTATGAAAATATTGCTTGTTCTTTGGATGATTGTTACTCTCTCTTGCTTAAGGAGGAAATTGCCTTGGAAAGGGACTACTCGTTCTGTAGTTCTGGTCGGTCTCGAGAAATAGTTTCTGACAAAACTTTTGAGGATGTGAGTTCTTTTGTGTCATTATTTAGCGCTTAAGGGTAGACATCCATGATACCGTCATGTTTATACTTTATTTTCTAGGAAAGCATAATTTTCCTATGCGGGCAAGCTTGTGTTTGGTTATTCTAATTTTAATGTTGTGCTTCATGTATAATCTACATGCCTTAGGAGAAAATAGTTGAATTTGTAACCGTCAATGATCCTTTCCTTAAGAAGATCCTTTGATATCCGATAGATATCATTTTATATCTCGCCAGTAGTGAAATCTTTAAATGCTATTATCATTTTGTATTTTTTTAAGAGTAGGATCATTGATTGTTACAAACCCAATTATTTTTTCTTTGGTCATCTACATCATACATGAAACATAACATTAAAATTAAAATAACCAAACACAAGCTTGTCTGCATATAATAATTATGTTTTCCTAATAAATAAAGTATACACATTACAATATCATCATATCTACCATTAAGCGTTAAATAATAAGTAATGACACATAAGAGAATTCACATTCTCAAAAGCTTGGTCGAAGACTATTTCTCGAGGCTGACAGGAACCACAGAACGAGGGAATTCCCCCTTTGAGCAAGAGGGAGTAACAATCGTCCAAAGGTCAAGCAATATTCCTATACTTGTCTTGATCTATGAGCAATCGATAGAACTTAATAGGGACTCTGTCTACAAATTGTTGAATTGAGAATTATTTCAAGAGATCCTCTTTCATCAACCATATATTGTACGTAGTACGTAGTAGCTCATGGTCTCTCAAAGAATAACACCATAGCAAATATCTGACGAAAAAAAATCCGAAAATAATAAATACTCTGTATAACATAGACGAAATAAGGGGAGTGGCTATTAATGCTAAATTAAGACGAACGAACGGCGGCTCTTCTTCCAAATTTCGGCGTTCCTACTCCTTGCCGACGAAATCCACCGTCGCCATGGTAGGCTGACCTTCGCCTAAGCTTCCAATTTTCCTGTCGCAAAGTGAATGAGATTCATCCTCTTTATTTTTTAAAAATGAATGTGTACTCAAATCATTATTTTGAAAAAACAAGAAAAAACCTTCGCCCAAACAAGAAAAAACCTCCATAAAAATAATTGCCTTTCAAATGGTGGAATCCCTACTTCCAAAAAAAAGTGTGTTGTAATATGGTCATTGCATGTGTGAAATGTCAATATCAGAAGCAAAGATGTCTTTTCACGCATGCCCTTCATTTCCTCTTACATCAAAGAAAATGAGATGGGTCAAAAAGAGTCATGAAATACTCTACTCCGGGATTTAATAAACTTTTCAAATATTTGAATAATAATACTGCTAATTATGGAGTACATAGTATCGTATGTATATGAGAGACTCTAAAACAATCAAGAATAGAAAAGAAAAACTAAATAAAATATAATATCTGCCATAAATAAGAATAAGAAACTGACCTAATAATCAAAGAGTATCATAACTAATATACCATCAGTAATACTACCACTATTATTATTATTACTCCCTCCATCCCATATCTTTCTTCTCACTTTCTTTTACGGTTTGACCCACTTGATTCTTCCCATTTCCTTTTTTAGCAAATAAATTTTGCCAAAAAGACCAATTTGCCCTCATTTTTTTTTTCTTCTTGGTTGAAGCTAACCCCCAACCCACCCTGTTAGACCCCCCCCCTCCCTCCCTTTTTTTACTTTTTCTTTCTCCACTACTCTGTTTCTTCTTCTTATTCGAATAGACCACCCACCCCCTCCACCCTCTTCTTCTTTCTTTGAAACGCCCCCGGCATGCCTCCAGCCTCATTATTCTTTCTCTTCGTTAGGTCACCCGCATCTTCTTGTTTTTTATTCGAAAAAGAGAGGATTTTCTACCAAATCTGTTGGTGATTTTATTGTCATCGATTTAGATTTCCTTAGATCAGACAAGAATTTTAATAGACGTTGTCAAACAAGTTAGGAGGTGCGGAGTACGCGCTCGTTCATCGATATTACAAATTCAGTGCAGGGGTCCGGGGATGGGGGCAGCCCCCAGGTAGCGGGGTCCAAGGGGCGGCAACCCCTGGCGGGGTCCAAGGGGAAGAGCCCCTGGCCGGGGTCGACTCTAAGATTTTCGTGATCGGAGTCCAAAACGATAAAGAACTCCAACAAGTGGATAACGTCGAAATTTACTCCAAAAGCCGCTGGAACTTCTCGCGCCTTTCTTCTTCCTCGCGCAAACGTACGCGTACATCTACGCGTACATTCATGTCTGATCATGAGGATTTTGACTCTATAAAATAGAATCTCGTGGTATGGGTTGAGATACAGATTTTTGAGTGCTTGTTCTTAATTAACGTCTTATCCGATTGAAATATTTCGTATACCCCGAAATAACTTTGATCTGAAAGCGTTTCGTACGTGATTCGTTATACTATCGAGTTCTTCTTGAAATACTACTTGGCAGTGTTCTTCCTTAGAAATCCAACAAAATCTGCCTTTTTCATTTTAGCTCCAGGTCTTACCTCTTAATTTTACGTTACAGGGCGCGACAAAGAAATATGGCTACATTTTTAGTTCTGGTTTCAGATTCCTCATCTTTGTCCATCCATCCTCTCCTAAAAGCTTTCTGATCGTGCACCGACACATTTATTCACCGTTTCTTTCTCTTCNCCTCTTCTTCTTCAATGGCAAGACCAATTTGAGTTTAGTTTTTTTTCAGTGAATCTAAGCATTAATGAGATTCTTCACATCGCTTGGAATTAAATTGTGAATTTTGTTTTACATTGATCAGATCTATTCTTGAGGAATTTTAAGATTTTTTATCAAAAATCTAACCTTCAAATTTTCAATTTAATTTCATAATTTTGGTTTTGATTTTAAAGAAGAGATTAATTGATTTGACATATGATGAGCAAAGCTGAGAAGGTTTAACGAAGAAAGATGCGTGAGCTGCCCTGTGGGGGAAAGTGCAAGAGTGGAAAATCATTATCTTTTACTCTTTATGTTAAAACCCGTGCCAAGTCAAAACGAGAAATTTCAACTGGGATGAAGGGAGTATTATTCATTAACATAACCTACTTTACTGTAAAAGACAAGGATTAAGCAGTTTGTACACCAAAATTTGTACCTCATTATATTTTGTATCCCTAAGGCATCCGCGGATATTTTTGTGCTAGTGTAATATCAATATGATGATTTATATTGACAAAAATTGTCGGTGCAAATTTTATTTATTAAACTAATATTTCCTGTCAGTGTGAAACGTTAAAATGTCGATGCATTTCATTAGAGTACACTTTTGATGTATTTGAAAAGATAAACAAGCCCTCCACTGCAACAGAAATATTTTCCGTTGTTTAGGATTGAATCTTGTTATCTTCCTATATTTGAATATCTCAACTTTGGACCAAGAACCAGATATTTTAACATCTCACCTTTAAACCAAGAACACTAATCATTCTTATGGAGTAATAATTACAAAATTACTCCGTATGACAAATCTAGTGCAGATTGAATGGTGGAGGTGTCTATTGCAGATTGTATGGGTGAGGAAGTACCGAACTGATACCAAAAATTCCCAAAAAATTTGAGACAATCGAATAGATTAGTGTTCATGGATAAGGGGCAATTGAAATGTTTTAAGTAGCCTATTATAGTATTCCATCCAAAGAAAACCAATCCAAGCTGACCAATCCTATGTTTGGTTGGAGGAATATAAAAGGAAAATAAAAAGTTAAGGAAAAGAAAGTCAATGAAACCAGACATCCTGAATTTCTTTGGTTATAAGGGAATTGGTAAGAAAAATAGTTTTCAACAACTCATTTTTGGTTGTTGCAAAGTAAAATGAAGAGATACATTATTTAGAGGAGCAAAGGGAAGGAGGGCCAGGGTGGGGGCAGGGTACTGGCAGGCGGCAGCAGGGGGCAAGGGAGGGGTGGGAGGTAGGGAGGGAGAGATTTTTCTGTTTTCTCCTTTTCTTTTCTCACAAAAAATAGGATCATCACAAAGAAACCCAATCTTATATTCTTATTATTTCACAATGTTTGGCACCATACAAACCAAGCAAGTTGAATACTCACTGAAGATGTGCTAAATTAGAAATGGGGTATGTTCTCTCGGACTTAATTGTTAAAGGAGTATGTGGGGTGGGTGGGTGGGGGGGTGGCATCGGCAGGATCGCATTCTAGGAGGCACCACAGCATTGAAACTATTGAAAATACTGAAGGCACTGTTGCCAGAATCGCCTCAGTGGCACATGCCCTACCGTCCCCCCTGAGAACAAGTATATTAAGCTAAACAAGAGGTTGGGTATGTTGAGAAGGCTGGAATATGGAGCTTAGGACTAGAGTAAAACAAGGCATTGAAAAACAATACCCTGAGTATTGAAGAGCATGTCCATAATCAACTACATAAATTCCATCCTACCAGCAATAAACCCTAGCCTTAATCTCCATGACCATAACAACATTATGAAGCCCGATGAAAGTGAAAACCAGTCCTCCATCATCTTCAGCTGAAACTCACACAGCTAAGACCCTAAATTTTACAGCAATCGACACTGGTAGCAAATCCACGACCCAAAAGAGTGTTGAGATTTCAGAAAATAAAAAATGGTAGAGATGACTGTTACAAAACCTGGGCAATTTTGCAGATTACGAAGTGTCCTTCCTTTCCCCAAGAGTGGGCTATTGGGGCCATCAGCAGCAACAGAAGAACGGCAGCGCTGATGAGCCGCCGCGCATCGAACCCCGCCATCTTCTCTGCTACTGCCTGATTTCCTCAAAATAGCCGGATCTCAATTCAAAGACAGTTAGACAGATGCATATGAATGTCTTCTCAAATTATCTTACACAAATATTTGATCACTAACTTAGAAAATTGTTGGAATATCA